TAAAAAGAACATAGTTTATTCCAAGATGGCTGACGGGTCACCATGGCAGGTGCAGGCATGGAGAAGAGAGCCCTCTTTTTCATATTTTCCTTGCTGTGAATATCAGACCTGGTTCTTTCTCATGTTATTTTGGACTTTCGCTTCTTCTTCTTCTTTTTTTTTTTAAACATTTATTCATTTTTGAGAGATAGAAAGAGACAGAGCGGCAGTGGGGGAAGGGCAGAGATAAGAGAGAAACACAGAATCCAAGCTGTCAGGACAGAGTCTGATGCAGGGCTTGAACCCACGAACTGCCAGATCGTGACCTGAGCCAAAGTTGGACACTTAACTGAGCTAGCCAGGCACTCTTTAAAGTTTATTTATTTATTTAGGAGAGAGACAGAGAGAGAGAGGGAGGGAGAGAGCACAGTGGGGGAGGGACAGAGAGAGAGAGAGAGACAGAGACAGAGGATCTGAAGCAGGTTCTGTGCTGACAGCAGAGAGCCCGATGCCGGGCTCGAACTCACGAACTGCTTGAGCCCAAGTCAGACACTTAACGGACTGAGCCACCCAGGCGCCCCCAGACTTTCACTTCAGAGACTTCCGAAGTGGGATAGTCACTCTTCTGGCCTAGAAACGTGCTACCAGCACAGTCTCGCATCAACACTTAAGGTCCTCTGTTTGTTGTTTTTACCTGGGACTCTCATAATCTGGACGGTCACACCACTGTTGACGAGGTCCCTGAGTCCTTGCCGGTTTTGTTGATCCAGGTGCCAGAAGAGCCGAGATACATAAATAACCAGAGTCACGCTAGGGTGTTGGCTCAAAAATCCTCTGATAGCCTTGGAGCATTCCCAACAGGGACTCCAGGACAGGAACCAGGTGATGGAACAGCTGACGGAGGGGCAAAAATGCCTCTCTGAAGTAAATTTTTCTATAAAATTGAGCTCAACGTGGTTGGTGGTGTTTCTGCCCGAGTTTCGCCAGACCCTACGGCTTGTGCCCCACTTAATTTCATAGAGCAGACAGGCCTCTTTGCGGAGTTCTCTGGGGTCAAAGAAGACTTCGAACTCCCGGGGTTCAATTCTTCTCCTGAAACACAAAAAGCGCCCCCATGCTATCAGGCAGTCTTTAGAGGGACCCTAGGAATGATTTCATGTTCCCCTCTCCTATCACACAGATCTCAAACATGACATCTCAGGACATTTTCTTTTCTAATCTGTCTCCCAAAGTTATCTAGGTGGGCCCGTCTGAATCATCAGAGTTTCTCTCACAAGCATAGTGAAGAGAGTTTTCCCACCTCACGTCATGGAGTTACCACTCTCTCTATACCGTTGCTTGGTAGTTTTGAATTCAGGCATAAATATGTAGAGACGCCACGTTCCAATCCCTACACCTCAACGTTCCTCAGTGGACTCTAAATTTTAGGTAGGAGCCTCAAACTGCCAACAAGATTCTATTGCCAAGTCTGAAGAGAGAAGAAGCCTCAGGATTCCTCGGCATGAAATTCTGCATACTAATTCCTCATAAGAAAAAAATTCAAATTGCTCCCAGTGGCATCTTTATTTATTTATTTTTTAAAGATTTTTGTCTTTAACAGTCTCTACACCCAGTGTGGGGCTCAGACTTACCACACCAAGACCAAGAGTCACATGCTCCACTGACGGAGCCAGCCAGGCGCCCCTCCCAATGACATCTGTAGATTTAATACTTTCCATGTCTCAGAGCTGTAACTCAGGGGAAACTCAAGATCGTGATGAGTACTCTTCTTTGCCATATGGTTGAGTCATCAGCTTATTACATCCCAACATTTCCACTCATCCCTAAAGTATTACATTTATTGACCACGTAGATCAGTCCTCCCACCCATTGTGAGATAATTTATTCCCTGACAAAAGCCCCCCTGTTATAACGCTACGTCTGAAAAATGGGAACATAGTATAAAATAAAAAGATGAACTCAAAGTGACAAATGAGTTCTCTGGACCTTTCGCTAATGGCTATCAAGTCATGTGATTTAAACAGAGAAGTATGAAGATAAAACAGTAACAGAACAAAGCTGGAAGGTAATTTATTTAAACAGAAACCAAAAGACATACAAACAAAGATATAGGAAGCAATAATCATAGGGCGCCTGGGTGGCTCAGTCAGCTGAGCATCCAACTCGTGGGCCCACAGCAGGCTCCGCATCGAGCCTGCTTGGGATTCTCTCTGTCTGCCCCCAGCCCCTAGCTCATGTGTGTGCTCTCTCTCTCTCAAAATAAAAAAATAAACTTTTAAAAAAGCAATAGTTATAGAGAATGAAGTTAGAAAAGGCAAAAGGTGGGACGCTTGGGTGGTTCAGTCGGTTGAGCGTCCGACTTCGGCTCAGGTCATGATCTCGTGGTTTGTGGGTTCGTTCGAGCCCCACATCGGGCTCTGTGCTGACAGCTCAGAGCCTGGAGCCTGCTTCGGATTCTGTGTCTCCTTCTCTCTCTCTGCCCCTCCCTTGCTTGTGCTCTGTCTCTGTCTCTCTCTCTCTCTCTCTCTCTCTCTCAAAAATAAATAAATAAATGTAAAAAATAAAATTAAAAAAAAAAAGAAAAAAAAAGGCAAAAGGAAAGAGTGGGAACATGATACAACAAGAAAGGAAAAATATGGAAAGCTATAGTCCTACAGCTCTTAAATCCACCTTTTCTTGCTCAATTAAATGCTCACTATGGTAGTATTCTTTTCTTTTTTTTTTTTTTAAATGTTTATTTATTTTGGAGAGAGGCAGAGAGAGAGCAGAGGAAAGGCAGAGAGAAGAGACACAGAATCCAAAGCAGGCTCCAGGCTCTGAGCTGTCAGCCCAGAGCCTGATGCGGGGCTTGAACTCGCCAACTGTGAGATCATTACCTGATCTGCACTCGGATGCTTAACCAACTGAGCCACCCAGGTGCTCCTATGATAATATCAGTCTTACCTCAAGGTGGCATCTCCAGCGGAAGACCCTGTTGACCAAGAGACGATTATGTCAAATAACACCCCCACACATATTTAGCTCAGAAAAATACTCGGTTTTTCTAAACCTGCAAACCATATCAGAAAATGGGGTTAAGGGGCGCCTGGGTGGCTCAGTCGGTTGAGCGTCCAACTTCAGCTCAGGTCACAATCTCACGGTTCGTGAGTTCGAGC